ACTTTTTAAATTTTCCCTTTCAGTATGTTTAAATCTTCTTCCCTAGGAGAGTCGGTATTAAGTGTGTACATTATTACAATTTCTTACTCAGTCAAGTATTACAATATTTGACAGTCTGTATTTCTCCTTTTTTGATGCACCTATTTTTTTTTCTGGAGGAAACAACTTCCTCATTTTTTATCTGTATCAATTACTAATTTATTCCAAAACTAAAGTTTTCAGTCTCCTCTTTAATGTATGTAAGTATGTTACCCTTGGAATCCTCCATACTCCAGCTCCTAATGGATAGCTTGCTTCCTAGGTTGTCTACACAGCTGTTATTCTGGCACTTTCCTTTATAATTTTAGCAATTGCCTTGATGTTGCTTCTGTGTAAGATGTCTTGTTTCCTGGATCTTTAGTGTTTATATGTATTAGTTCATCCCTTGTTTTGATGGTACACATTCTCTAATAACCTGAGAGTAAATGGAGGTAGAAGGGAGGAGTGAGGTGGTAGAGATGTTTTAGAATTTGCATGTCTGATAATGCCTTAATTCCACTCTCAAATTTAAAATTAGTTTTGCTGAATATACAAGTCTAGATTAGATATATCTTTGTCTCAGAGCAGTCCAGCATTGTTATAAAGTTTGATGCCATTCATATTCCTGACGTGTTCACACCCAATCTGGAGAAGCTATTTAGATTTTCCCTGTATTCCCTCTTGTTCTAAAATGTCAGAATTTTGTGCCTGGTTGTATAGATCTATTTCCATTCAGAACTTATGTACTCAATAGGATTTTTAAATATAAAATACCCTATTTTAGGGTATTAACCTCCTAGACTATTACTCTAAATGTTTTCTTTTTTCTCTCATGTTCTGTCCTTTTTTTTTTTTTTTTTTTTGAAGGGTTATTGCTCTGTCACTCAGGCCAGAATGCACTGATGTGATCACGGCTTACTACATCCTCGACCTCCCGGGCTCAAGCAGTGCTCCCACCCTGCCTCCCAAATAGCTAGGACTATAGGCACGTATCGCCATGCCTGGTTAATTCTTTTATTTTTTTGTAGAGAAAGGATCTCCCTACTTTGCCCAGGCTGGTCTTGAACTTCTGGCCTCAGGTGAGCCTTCTACCTTGGCCTCCCAAAGTGCTGGAATTACAGGTGTGAGCCACCACAGTCAGCTGTGTTCTATCTCTTTAAAAAGCCACATAAGATAGTGGTTAAGAGGCAGAGCTACAGAGGAAGACTTTCCAAACTCAAGTCTTGTGTCTACTACTTAATTACTTTGCGACCTTGGACAAGTTAATTAACCTTTGTGTTTTAATGTCTTCATCTATATAAAATGGGTTTAGTAATAGTGCTTAATCCTTAAATTGATTTGAGGATTAAATATGTTAACTTGGCCGAGCACAGTGGCTCACACCTGTATTCCCAGAACTTTGGGAGGCCAAGGCAGGTGGATCACAAGGTCAGGAGATCAAGACCATCCCGGCCAACATGGTGATACCTCGTCTCTACCAAATACAAAAAATTAGCCGAGCATGGCTGTGCCTGCCTGTAGTCCCAAGCTACACAGGAGGCTGAGGCAGGAGCATCACTTGAACTTGGGAGACAGAGATTTCAGTGAGCCGAGGTGGTACCACTGTGCTCCAGCCTGGGCAACAGAGCAAGACTCTGTCTCAAAAAAAAAAAAAAAAAAAAAAAAAAAAAAAAAATTTTTTTTAAAAAAAAAAAAAAAAAAAAAAAAAAAAGTTAATTTTCTAGGGTGCTTAGAATAGTGCCTGGCAGTTAGAAAGCACTTTAAAACATACTAACTATATTTTAAAATTTAGCATTGCCATCATCATTATTATTATTACTATTGATCTTTTATTTTGAGAAATTTGACCATGTTGATCTTCTGCACTTCTGATTATTTTTTTCTCAAATCTGCTATTATATTTTTAATTTCTGTACACTGTTTTATTCCAGATTTTTTTCATTTTACTGAATTATTATTATTTTTTATGCACACATCCTTTACAATAAATATTACTTTTTATTTTTGTGACATTTTTTCTGCTCCTGGCATTGTTTTCATTTTCTGCTCATTTGGCTTAGCCCTTGAATTTCATATTAGATGCTTTTCTCAAATATCTGGTGATTCTTCTCTGTCCATTTTCATTCAAGAGTGAGGGACTGAAAAACTAATTGGAAGTGCTGTGTGTTTCGGCATGTAACTTATGAACTAGTAGATTAACTGTGAGCTTATCTAAAATAGCATCTCTCTAAAGGTCTTTTCTCTTAATTTTGCCAGTTTCCCCTGGGAGGAATCCTTCAGTTTCCCAATCTCTTGCCTGTTCCGTTAAAAGATGGCTTCTGCTCTTCTGAGAGCCTTAGCAGTGGGAGGCTACAGTGGTGGGGTGGGGTGGGGAACAGTGAAAGTAAAGAGGAAGTTATCTCATCCCTCTGTATGAAGACTTTCAAGAAATTATCTTAACTTCAATGTAATGTCTCATCCCTTCCCTCAGCAGTACTCCAGCTTCTGAGGTTTGTCTTATTTGAACTTTCCATTTCTCTTGCACAGTTGATGGAGGTGGGGGTGGGTAGAATCCTTGCTCTTAGGGAAAAGTAAAGGATCTGTAGGTCTTCATGATTCCTCTAAAAAATTTTCAGCCAATCCTTCAGTTTTCACACAACTGTTGTTCTTTGCTTGCTGAAGTTACTGATTTGTTTTCTAAGTATGCCAACTGTTAAGATTCGTTAAAGCCATGTTTGTAGTAGAATCTGTGGTGTTTACTATATTATTCTCTATTCTTTTCTGTGTGTTTTCTACATCTCATAGAAAAAATAATAATTTGAGATGCAAAGGATGTTTATGTTATAAACCAAGTTTGTTGTAGCATTTTCAGATTGCGAACAACCTAAATTTCTAACAATAGAGAAAGTATAAACTCCACAAAAGATTAAAAAGAAGAAAATTAGGTGCGGTGTGCACATGTAGTCCCATCTACTCATGAGGCTGAGGCAACAGGATTCCTTGAACTCCAGAGTTCAAAGCTATGGTGAGCTATGATCTTACCACTGCACTCCAGCCTGGGCCACACAGCAAGACTCCAACTCAAAAACTAATAATAATAATAATAAATTAATGATCCATTGATTTTCATTTTAAACAATTAAGTGTGATCCTTTTTGAAAATTCTGGTTAATATAAGTGGAAAGTATGTCATTGACAGTTGTGAAACTTCACACAGTAAATAATTTAATGTATGAGATAAATAAATACGTTTCTTATTTTCTGTTCTAGAACTGACCAGTAGAAATTTCTGTGGTGTTAGAAATGTTCTATACCAGCACTATGCAACAGAGTAGCTGTTAACCACTTTTGACTATTAAGTACTTGAAATGTGGCTAGTGTAGTTGAGACATTTTTTCATTTTATTTTATTTTAATTAATTTAAATTTTAATTTTAATAGCTGGAAGCTAGAATATTGAGCAACATAATTCCATACCAATCATTTCATAAATAGTGCTGATATGTTTTTATAACTGCGAGTAACAAACTAATTTAGATCATAAAATGTTTTAATTGGTATCAAAGATCTTTTCTTAAGTGCAGAAAAAAGCAATTGGGAAAAACAAGTTTTAGAAAATTGTACATGAAAATAAATCAATTTATTCTAAACCCATTTGGGGTTTTGTCATATTGCCCAAACTGGTCTCAAACTCCAGAACTCAAGTGATCCACCCACCTTGGCCTTCCAAAGTGCTAGGATTATAGGCGTGAGCCACTGCTTACAACCAGAAGTGACTACTATTACCTCCATTTTTTAGACGACGAATGGAGACATAGAGAGGTCCTGTGGTAACACAGACACAGCTACTAGTGCAAAGTCAAGATTTGAACCAGACATTCTAGTTGCCAAATTTAAACTCAACCACTATGCTCTGTTACACTGTACTCCCTCACAAATACATATTTCCATTGGAAAAAGAAGTTACTTTATATTGTAAGATACTAATGTTTAGCTAGGAATGATGAATTCACAGCTTAAGTGATATAACTAGTTTCTAGTACTGGCATTAATTATTATGTGAATTCACTTTAAGGTTTTTTAGGAGGTGAGTAAAATATGACATATTAACAGTTAATGTATTTAAGCTGATTTGTTGGCATAATTCTAAGCATAAGTAAATTTGATCTTGAAGGCTAGAAGTAGCAATTTAGAGTAACATATAAGATAGCACAGATTATATTTACTAATACAGTGTCCCACATTATCTTTATGATTTTAATAGAATATAAAACAAAGTTATTGTATGTGCTTTTCTTCTTCAAGAAACTTAAATACTGTTTTCTTTGAATTATTTCTATAGTACCACTTAACAAAAATGATTTCTAGTTTTCTATGTTTTTTGTAGTTACAAAGTTGGTCGTCACCTTCCAAATTTAATAAATTGGAATTTATCTCTTCATTTAATCAGAGATTTTAAATTCTATTTTTATTGTTAAATGAGAGGCATAAGCTTGCAGGTACAAAACCAGCATTTCATATGGGTGAAATAAATGTCTTTATTCTTAGTTGTTACTGCTCCCATTATTTTGGTGAATGGCTTTTTTGAATTCTAAAATTACAAACCTGTAAGGAGATTGTGCATGTTTTATTTTTACCTTGTGGCCAACATAATAATTATATATAATACATAAGTACTAATTCCAGACTTTGCTTTAAGCATATACATTTTGAAAAATTAAAATAACTTCTTGTTAGACTAGTAATTGATTTTTGTGAGTATAGAAATTTGTACATTTTTTTAAAATTCCAGTTTATTGCTAAAAAATTAAACTTAACATTTGGTATTATACTTGTTTTTTCTGTTTTACAGATGTCTGTATTTTTATGACTTTGTACTTAAATCAGTTTTAGTCATCAATTTTCAATATATCGGAAATTTTCTAGTGTTTCTGAAACTGTGATTTAAGAAAATTGTCATATTTTACCACAGAATCTCAATCATATGTCATTCTGTTTTCTTAGGAACTTCCAGCACCATTACTTGATGATAATTGTAAAAAGGAATTTGATGAAGATGTATATAATCGTAAAACACCAGAATCTAATATTAAGATGAAAATAGCTTGGCGTTACCAGTTATTACCCAAGATGGAGGCAAGTCAACATACAAATTCTTTCTAAAATTTGCAAATGCATTTGTTTTCATCTTACAGAATCTCTTGTGGTATGCCTATATGTGTATTTGTTTATTTAAAGAATTAGCCATTTCATTGGTAGAGTATTTGGTCAAGATGATATATTTCTTACAAATAAAATTATGGTAACTTGTTTTTTACTAAAATAGATTGTTTCATTTCTTCCTTAATCCCCATATAGAATACTTTTTTCTGCGGTTGCAAGACAGAGTAAGTGAACTAATGAAGCCATTTCTATCCAGTATGGTTACCTATAAATATATTCAGTGTAAGTGATGGTTCTTTGGAATTACTATTTTTATCCTTATACATTTTCAATCATTACATTTTCAAACTCATCTATCTGGTAACCTCATCTATTCAGAATAGACAGAATAGGTAGGAAATGAAGGAAAAATTTCTGAGAAGTCAAAACAAATGTCAATAAATCTGTCTAGTAAAACTCATGAACTCTGTTCCTGGTGATGGCACGGTTCCCTTATGAGCTCCCTTATTTGATTGCTCACTTCATTCACCTTTCAGACTACATTATTTAATGTCTATCAGATATTGCCATACTAGTAGAAAAGAGAGGAATATTCTAATCTGAATAAGACATAGTTTTCTTAGTCCATCCTTCTCTAGTCTTCCTCATTGATATCAGTGTTCTCTTTCCCAAGGATAAAAATATGTTTATGATACTTTTGAGCTTCAAATGTCTCATTTGGTTTCCTATTTTCCCTACCACCTTCTAAATAAATAGCAGACTATAGTACCCTCTAGTACCCTCCTGCCAAACTCAGACACAGCCTTAGAATTATTATCTACAGGAATGTTCTGGGTAGCCACTACCACTAATGAAAGTTAGTATATGAGATGAAACCTGTTTGCTATTATAAGCTTGTAATATGAAATACAAATTTAAGATTGTATACAAAATCTGTACAACCTAATCCAAGCCTACCCTTTTAGCCTCTTCCTCCTGTGTCTATAAAACACTACATTCAACCATCCTATGAGAATTGCTCCCTTATAAATCGCTTGTATTTCTGTTAGTAATGCTTTTCACTTTCTTACTCATCAGTGCGTCCTTCTCCAAGTTCAAATGTTACTAACTCATATGCTTTCCATACATAATTATTTACTTTCTTTTTTTTCCCCATAGCACTTCATATATTTTAAAACACATTTTTCACATTGGTTTATACTAAATTTGTAGTATAACTCTCTCTTCCACCAGACTGAAAATTTTCTGCGAGGCAGAGAGCTTGTTTTATTATCTCTTGTACCTCTAGCACTTACACTAATGCTCTTTTAATCAATAATGATAAATGTATTCATTCAGTCCTCAAATACTAATTAAGCATCGACTATGCACCAGGTATAAAACATGTTATAATAGATGAATATTAAGCAGTGGTATATTGTTCTAATTTAAATGTAGAAACTATTCGAATAATATTTTAAGCTGTGATTTAAATTATTCTGAACGAACTGCAAATTTATAAGGACAAATTTTAAAATAAGGACAAATAACTTTTAAAATAAATAAGGAAAATTCCATAACAGATGTTTTTTAATGGGCAAAAATATGAAAAGGAAATTTAAGTGACTCTTAAACATACAAAATATATGCCTGATTCCAGTTTTAATGAGAAAAAATTGAAATAAAAACTACACTGTCCTGCCGTTTTTCTCTTATCAAATTGACAATGATCTCACTTGGTAAGACGCTGTATTAGCGAGAGTGGGAGAAGCTGGTACTCTCATACTTTGCTGGTGAAAATGTAAAAAGGTGCTACTTCTGTAGAGTATTTTGGTAGTAACCTTCAAGATTATAAAAACATATATTGTTTGATTCTTTTAGAAATTTACGTCATGAATATATTTATTCAAATGTAGAAGGAAATATGCATGAGCTATTCATACAGCGTATTTTTTAATAGCATGACATTGAAAATAACCTAAATGTCTATCAGTAAGCAACTAGCTAAATGAATTATGGCATGTCTGAACAGAGTAAAGTACATTTTTATTAAAAAATAGAAGGAAGCTCTTTGTAATCAGAAGTTGTTACAGGCATAGCCTAGCTTGGATGTATAAGAACTGAGTGCAGGAGGCCAGAATAGATGTTAGTCTGTTTAGGAAAAGAAGAATTAAGTGATAGAGATCAAAACAGACAAGAAATATAGGACTAGCATTTGAGAACCATATGGCAAAGAAATTCATGACTTTGACTCTGACAGATTCATTTAAGTGACTGTGCTTAATGGTGATTCTTCCGTTGAAGAGTGACTGTATTCTAATTTCTCTACTGCTGTGTCCTGAAAGAATCAGTAATGAACCTATACTGTAAGTTATGTGTAGCTTTTTTGAAAAGACAGTATACCAGTCAAATTTTAGGTTATATATGTAACTTTTTTCTTTCCTTTCCTTATTTTTATACTTATCCAGCTAGGTTTCGTTTGTTTGATTTTTGTTTGTTTGTTTTTTGGGACACAGTCTCGCTCCGTCATCCAGGCTGGAGGGCAGTGGCAGGATCTCGGCTCACTGCAACCCCTCCTCCCAGATTCAAGCGATTTTTCTGCCTCAGTCTCCCAAGTAGCTGGGACTACAGATGCACGCCACCATGACCGGCTAATTTTGTATTTTTTGTAGAGATGGGGTTTCGTCATGTTGGCCAGGCTAGCCCTGAACTGCTGACCCTGAACTCCTAGACAGGCAATCTAGGCTTCCCAAAGTGCTGGGATTACAGGTGTGAGCCACTGCACCTGGCCGGTTTTGGTCTTTTCATTGGTAATTAACATTCTCAAGTGAAATTGTTGTCAAAAATGTAAGTAACTAAAGCTTTAAGCCTTTTCTCTCTCTCTCTCTCTCTCTCTCTGGCCGGTTTTGGTCTTTTCAT